ATATTTGTGTTTAACTTATTTTTATATTTGAGGTAAATGTTCAGATTTCTTATTGATAGAGGTATGTTAATGTTGATCTCAAAAGGATGCCAGAGAGTTAGGAAAGACTATATGGAAGAAGTAGATACTAAGAGCAGACTTTTAAGGTACAGAGAAATTTTGCATATCTGTTGAGGATGATGGAATATTGAAAACCTTATATGTGGGAATGTAGCATTAATAATTACAAAAGGATATTTTCTTGAGTTAATAATATAGTCCTCAAAACCATGAACCTTTGAGGATCTTTGTATTTTTCTGTTTTCCTTTGCTTTACTTTAAAAAAATTTTGAGACAAGGTCTCACTTTGTAGCCCAGAGTTTCCTGGAATTTACTATTGTAGCCCAGGCTGGCCTCAAGCTTGCATTAGTCCTCCTGTCTCAGCCCCCCAAGTCCAGGGATTACAACAGTAACTACTGTACCTGGCTCTGTCTTGTGCTTCACTTCTAATTAGTTGTCTAGTGCTGCTGCTCTTATCTGAGGATAGTCTGTTTTCTTTAGCTCTGAACAATTTTCGTATTTTCCAGTTTAGAAGTGTTATTGTTCTCTCAGGAAGTCTCAGTGGATAGTTCAGAATTTATCCATCATGTTTTTCAACTTTTGTCTTACATCTTTTCTCTCTTTTTTGTAAAAGCTTCAGAAATTTGGGGATTTTTTTTTTTGCCTTTCCCTCATTAATTAGAATTTCAGCTATTTATACTTTGCTATTTTAAAAAATCTCATTTGCCAAAATTTAAATTTCCTAAAACTTCAGGTAATCTATTCCAGGGACACAGTATTTGGTTGGAACATACTATAATTATAATTATATAATTAGCAAAATACCTGCTTTTGTTTGCTGTTTAAACTTCTTAGATTTTAGTTTTTATCTGATTGAATTTGAAGCCTTTCTTTCATGGATATGCATTTCTTTACAAATTGTTACTTGATTTTTTTTGTTCATCTAATTGAGAATCCATTTTCACCTGTATATATATTATAACATGGTTGTGTTGACTATGGGAGTCAATAGGTTAAACTACAGGGAGAGGTGGGCTTGGTAGCTTGCCTTTTGGTACCAGGGCTATTTATCTTGCTTGGGACTCATGAACTATTTGTAACACTGTCATAAATTTTGCTTTCAACTGAGGTAGGCTTTGTGTTCAGAGAAATGGACACCTGGTGTAACATTTACTCTTAGCCCTCATTCAGTTATTTGAAGTTTTTTCCCCTTAAGTATTCCTCAGTGTTCTAGTTTATTAATGATAGTCTTTTTTGGTAGTATTGTTTATACATATATACTTTTTTGTTTTGTTTTTTTGATAGGGTCTCCATAGTACATGCATATACTTTTTATTTTTCTTCTTTTGTCTTTTTTCTAGTTTTATAGACTTGAGATGAGAAGGGGTAGAGCCATGCTCAGCTTGTCTTGAACTCATCCTCAAATTTTAAAAAAATTAATTATATTTTCTCAAAAATGAAACTTTCAGGTTAAATAAGCTTTGCATATGACAGTGTCTTTCCTTTATATTCTGTATTGACATTTCATATTTTGTTATTTGTGCATAGCTATTACAAGTGGTTTTTTTATGTGTATGAATGTATTGCCTGCATGTATGTAAGTGTACCCGTGTTGTGCAATGCCTTCTGAGGTCAGAAGAGGGCATTGGATCCCCTGGAACTGGAGTTGCAGGTGGTTGTTAGCCACCATGTGGGTATTGGGGATTGAACCCACAAGAGCAGCCAGTACTCTCAACTGCTGAACCATCTCTCCAGTCCCACAAGTGGTTTATTCAATGAGTAGAAACCTGAGAAATTTTTAGTAATTCTATTATATTTCCAGTAATTAAAACCTTTAACAATGAGCAAAAACTATTCCAGACACAATTTAGATGATAGCTGGAAATTAGAGGACTCTGTTGGAAGTG